ATTTTGTGGAAATGAAAAGTTTTAAATGTAGACCTAACACTTGGGCAATCAAGAACTATGAACTGATGATGCTAATCACATAAAAGGAATTCTGGGACTAAGCTAAGACAACAGGACTTTTTCACATGCAGACATCTCTTTTAAAAAACCTTTGGCCCTAGCTGGTTTTGCCCAATAGATAGAGCTGGATAGAGCAATCGCCTCAGGACCGAAGGGTCCTGGGTTTGATTCTAATCTAGAGCATGCACCTCGGTTGCAGGCTCCATTCCCAGCGCTTGTTGGTGTGCATGTGAGAGGCAATCTATGTGTCTCTCTCACACCCATCGATGTTTCTGTCTCCCCCTCCCTTCCACTCTCTCTAAAAAATTAATGGAAAAATATCCTCAGGTGAGAATTAACAAAAAACAAAACAAAAATAACCCTTTGGATTTCTCTATTAAAATGTGGCCACCCCTGCCCTAGCTGGTTTGGCTCACTGGATAGAGCGTCGGCCTGGGGACTGAAGGGTCCCAGGTTCGATTCCGGTCAAGGGCATGTACCTTGGTTGCAGACACATTCCCAGTAGGGGGCATGCAGGAGGCAGTGGACTGATGCTTCTCTCTCATTGATGTTTCTAACTCTGTATCCCTCTCCCTTCCTCTCTGTAAAAAATCAATAAAATATATATTTTTTTAAAATGTGGCCACGCTGAAACCGGTCTGGCTCAGTGGATAGAGCGTCGGCCTGCGGACTGAGGGGTCCCAGGTTCGATTCCGGTCAAGGGCATGTACCTGGTTGCAGGCACATCCCCAGTGGGAGATGTGCAGGAGGCAGCTGATCGATGTCTCTCATCGATGTTTCTAACTCTCTATCTCTCTCCCTTCCTCTCTGTAAAAAATCAATTAAAAAAAATGTGGCCACCACAAAACTCAAAGCCAAATTTGAAGTTGACTAGTTTTAATAATTTCACACTGACGGAGTATCAAATGCAAGGTGCCAGTATGAGAAAAACAGGAAGCACCAGGACTGTGGTGAATAAGGAACTTGCATCCCACCTGAAGCAGGAAGCCACTACGCAGGATGACTGCCACAGGAACTGCTGGCCCAGTATGGCAAGCTCTTACACAAAAGCCCAAATTTCTGCATTTTTATATAAATGGCACCTCAAAATGTAAGCCACAGACACAAACATTAGACAGGCCAGCCTGTTTTTAAGATCTCAAGCTTCCAAACCTATGATCGAGCATGTTAGGATTTTTCTTGTTTAACCTAACCCAAGGATATTTTTCCTTTGATTTTTAGAAAGAGAGGGGAAGAGAGAGGGTAACACAGAGAGAAACATGGATGTGAGAGAAACACATAGATTGGTTGCCTCCTGTACGAGCCCTGACCAGGGCCCAGGCCGGGCAGGAGCCTGCAACCAAGGTACATGCCATTGACCAGAATCGAACCCGGGACCCTTCGCTCAGCAGGCCAACGCTCTATCCACTGAGTGAAACCAGCTAGGGCCATGTTAGGATTTAAATTACTCCTTGAGTATTCAACATTTTCAAGGCTCTGATTTTTCCCTAACATTTGATTTTTCCACTTTATTGTATGCTAGCATTCTCTTATAATTTGCCTCATGTTAAACACAAAAGTAGTTTCTGTACATCATTATATATAATACCTGACTTACTTTATTAAAAATAAATCTCCTAAAAGTAACAGCTTTGTGGAATAAGACTAGTACCACACATAAAAGCCAAAATTCCTAACAATATTACAATGAAAATATCTCTGTAACAAAACTCCTGATCAGGATGGATTTAATATAAATAACTGACTTGTAATAATTAGCATTAGTACTACTAACTAGATCCCTTTACCAAGTCCTTTTTATTTTTTTAAGTGCTTTTTAAAGACTCGGCCTCAAAATCAGTAAGCTGAGAAAAAAATTACTATCGTACACTCTTAATTTCACATAGATGCTCTAATTCAAATTACCTATACTTCATTTTTGACTGATGTATTTATGTAGCTGGATCAAACTGAGTTTCTAAAAATTTCCTTCAGTAATGCTTGACTGTATTTTGCATATAAGTCATAATCGCTATTGTTTAACACATTATTTGTGGTACAATGCTTCACGAATGCAATCTAAAGCAAGTTCCTAATAAAAACTAAACACTGTAACGTGCTGTAGTTCCTCTCCCCTGAAACATCAATGGTGCCTGAAAATAAATTTCACGGAGTTACTGGTTTTATTCATACTATACACATTTCCCCCTGTCTTATCCTCCACATAAAGGAACATTTGGTTTTTGACTGGAATTACTGACTTGGCATTATGGGTTTTCCCTTAGTGATGCCCACTTGCACCTGCGTCCTAAACTGGCAAGCCAACAATGCAGGAAAACACTCACTGAGACCGGGCGGAGGGGGCAGGTGTTCTAACAGCTACTGCTGCACCCTCCCCTGTGCCAGGCTAGGAAACGGGATGCAGGGCAGCAGGACCTGGACAGGTTGATCAGGTCTCTAAGTATGTCTCTCTCATCTGTAAAGCGTGGGAAATAATACTTAACTTTATAGAATTTGCAGAGAATTACATGCAATAATATATGTAAAGTGCTTAGCAGTGTCTAGTACACAGTTAACACTCAATAACGGTGTTTTCGGGGAATTTTTTTTTTTTACTAATGCAACTAATATCATATCAGTAATAATGCCACCACTACCACCAATTTAAAACTAAAGCAAAGGCAGACAGGTTCTTTTCTACCGATGCAAAAGGCATCTCGTTATAACGGAATCACCACACACTTGTGATTTTCTTCGAACAGAGTTTATAATCACACTCATACATTAATTTTCTCTTTAATGCAGTACCACCAGGAGAGCACCGCGAGTCACAACCCAGGACATTCAGTTCTCTGCGCGCACACACACACACACTCACGCACGCACGCAAATAAGAAATGAGAGGTGTAGAAAGAGAAAAGCAAGGAAAGAAAAAATGATCGAGGGAACGAAGATTTTAAAAAAAATTAACCCAACCTGAATGTGCATGGCATTGAAAAAAATATATACCTAACCCACAAAATAAGATGTAAAACAAAAAGTCCCCAATTCCTACACGATACATGGACTACCTTTTAAGGGCAATTAGACAAAAGGAGAAGCGGGGTTCTGCTCCAATTCCTCTTTTGTGAAATCTGGCGACAATAAATCTGGAGTCCGTCTGTGCACCACCCCTCTAAGATAAATAACTAACGGAACTAGTCCCGCCACCCCCCCCCTCCCCCCCAACCCCA